CTCAAGGAGGTCTCTGAGTGTGAGCCCGGAACCTCCCCTGGAGGTTGGCCTCACAGAGTATTGTATTACTGTTGTACACTGTTTGGCCTCCTGATTTTTTTTTTGGAGAGGTTTTTGCTATAGGGCTCATGCACTCACCAGAAAGGGAGAGAGAGACAGAGAGACAGAAAGCGAGAAATCACCCACCAGGGGAATGGCCATGCCACAATCCCTTCTCCTCCCTTCTCCTCTCGGGATCTCGGGCATGCACACACACGCGCCCGGTGTGAGTTTAAGCCACCAGGTCCAGGACTTGAACCGTGGTTGACTACATGGGAGTTCAGTGTGACGTAGCCATTATGCCAACTGCTGGTCCCCCCTTATTTTATTATTTTTTTTAAGCATCCTTATTTCATGTATATAGTATCTTCTCAATTCTCTGCACTTTTTTTTTTTTTGCCTGTATGGTTTCCCTTTCTTCCAAGTCTGTTTCTTTATGATGTTCTCTATGTTCCTAATCACAGATTCTGTCAGAGATCTGGTATTTGTTGGATTTCTACTCACTATTAAGTTTAAGAAAACTGAAAACCCAATTTTAAGTTTTCAACATATGTGTAGAGCCATGCTTTTCATGGCCCAGTAATGTAGATGGGCTATCTGCTGGGGTTTCGTTAGGTGTTTCATCTAGTATTTGCCACATTTCGGAAAAAAATAGTTTACATCTCCTGCTTGTCAGTCAGATAAAACAGCTAGGAACTGAGGAGAAGAGGGCCGAGTGGTGGAGAGTCTCAGTATTCAACATTTCAAGTATAGCACAGTACTCTGTCAGTATGGGGTCCACTCTCCTCGACGTTCCTGATGTTCCCAGTGTAGAAAATAAACTGTCTCGTTTAATCCAGATCCTCAACCTCTGGACTTTGCCGTTCCCGAGAGGCTAGCAGTGTGGACTAGGGGAGCGATTTAAGCTGGATGCATTGCTTTGCATCTGGCTTTCACTCTGCCACCTTTACTTTAGCATTCTGCTATACCCCACGGTCCAAAGGTACCTGGTACTGTTAAGTTCCTGAACTTTTCAGGAATCTAAAATGTAAACTACTGTTTAAGATTCAGCTTTTTCATTAACCAGTCCCTAAATTTTGTTGCTTTTTGTCTGCTGCTTGGTATCTCTGGATTTGTCTTTATATGAATTTATTCAATATAATTTTTCTTTTTTTATATTTTTGCCATGGGGCACATGTATTTGTTAGAGGAAGAAAGAGAAGTGAGAAATCATTCCCCAAGAGGGATAAGCATGCCGCACTCTCCTCTCCTCCATTCTCCCCTTGGGATTTTGGGCCCTCACCACATGCACCTGGCATGTTTTTTAGGCCTCCAGCTCTGGGACTCAAACCCTGGAGTCAGCCATGTAGGATCCAGTGCCTTAACCACCATACCAGCTGCTGGCCCTATTCAGTGTAATTTTAATGGAATTTAAGTAGAAAGTTAACTAAGATGCATGTGTTTAGTTTGCCATCCGAACTTATAACATCCCATGTCTTTTGCTACTTGACTCATCTTGAAAAATCACCTTTGAAAATGACTATAGTAGTCCTTTAAGTGAAAGCACCACAGTTATTTAGAACCATAGTTTAAAATGTAGGTTGTCAGGAACCAGCAGGTGGCGTGGTGGTTAAGGTACTGGATATTCTCACATGGCCAACCACAGTTCAAGTCCCAGACCTGGTGACTTGCTTTCTTATCCTCCCCACCCCCCACCACCGTATGTATGTGTGTCTCTCTCTAGTCAAGTTAAAATGAATGAATGAATGAATGAATGATTATTTTTTAAAAATCTTGGTTGTCATTTTTTTCACATTTTTCTTCATTCATATTATTTATTTTCTAAGGGTAGATTCTTAGGAGATTAAAAACTAGGCTAAATGGGTAAGAACAGTTTAGGGCCCCTTGAGAAATATTGCCAGTTTGCTTTTTCAGAGTTAAGCCATTGTACTGCCTTTTCAACTCTGACTTGAATAAAATATTTAAGCTTATACTTACTTGATTTTGGGTACCAAAAATTGTCTTCTTAAAAATAGTCCTTTTTCTTTTTGAAAGATTTTTGCTATAGGGTTTGTGCACTTGCCAGAGAGACAGAGAAAGACAGAGAGACAAAAAGAAAGAAATCACCCCGCGGGGGAATGGCCATGCCTCACTCCCTTCCCTCCCTTTCTCCTCTCAGGATTTTGGGTATGCACACACACACACGCTCGGCATGAGTTTGTTTATTTGTTTTTTAATAATTATTAAGTTTTATTTATTCATTCATTTACCTTTAATTCGACAGAGAGAGGGAGAGAGAGAGAGAAAGAAGGGAAGTGAGAAAGCAAGCCACCAGGTCTGGGACTCAAACCATGGTCAGCCATGTGGGAGTGTCCAGCCCCTTAACCACTATGAATTTTTGTTTTTGTTTTTATAGAATTATTTTTTTTTTGGAGAGGTTTTTTCGCTATAGGGCATGTGCACTCGCCAGACAGACAGAGAGAGACAAAGAGACAGAAAGCGAGAAATCACCCCCCAGGGGAGATGGTCACGCCGCAATCCCTTCTCCTCCATTCTCCTCTCAGGATCTTG